GTGTGTGTGTGTGTGTGTGTGTGTGTGTGTGTGTGTGTGTGTGTGTGTGTGTGTGTGTGTGTGTGTGTGTGTTCACTCTTACTCCCTTTTTTATCGCTCTCTCTCGTATTCTTTGATATTTTTCTTTTTTTGTTCTGTCGTTCCGTCCATCGCTTTCTTTATCAATCTGTCGATCCTGCATTTATCTTTCTCTCTCCTCATCTATTCCGCCTTTAAACGTCTCTCAGATTATTTATTGTTCCTCTGATTGTTTGTCCCCCCCCTCTCTCTCTCTCTCTCTCTCTCTCTCTCTCTCTCTCTCTGTCTCTCTCTCTCTCTCTCTCTCTCTCTCTCTGTCTCTCTCTCTCTCTGTCGCTCTCTTTCTCTGTCTCTCTCTGTCTCTCTCTCTCTCTCTGTGTCTCTGTTTCTCTCTCTGTCTCTCTCTCTCTGTCTCTGTCTGTCTGTCTGTCTGTCTGTCTGTCTGTCTGTCTGTCTGTCTGTCTCTCTCTCTCTCTCTCTCTCTCTCTCTCTCTCTCTCTCTCTCTCTCTCTGTGTCTCTCTCTCTCACCCTCCCTCTGTCTCTCCTGTCTGTCATGTCTCCTTCTATTTATCTACTCGATCTGAAGGGACATGGCTTTTCTTACTAAAAAAAACCCTAAGAAAAATTATCATACTATGTACACCCCTCTCTTGACTTAGACTAGAGCTTGCCCCTTCAACCACTTAAGAGGCTGAATTATATATTTTTTAAATTAAAATTGGCCAAAATACATTTTCCTCTGTTTAAACTGACATAGCATTATGCCCTTTAAAACTCTCATTAAATACTATTGCGAGCTTAAACAATTCCAGTTTATATAGGGGCCTACATGTAAGGCCCTGTACAAAGTATGTATATGATGTAGGCCTATTTAATAAAAGCTACATCACTAATTAAATAATGGTGTAGAAAGACGGGATTTCTCGTCTTCATCTTCTTGGTTCAGTTTTATCAACTCCAATAATAATAGTGCTTCCGTTGGTTAAAAACTCCACTTTGTCTAGTACGGCATTGAGGTCATACAAAGAAACAAATAAACATGCAAACAAACAAACAAAGTTTATTTGTAGTTGTTGTTGTTGTTTTCTCGTCGATGGGTTTTTTTTTTCTTCCGTATCCTGTGGGCGTTTATTATTTGTTTTCCCGTATCATTATAGATCTACTCCTAGTTTTAGAAGGTCGAGTAGTTATTATTAAAATTTCGGATTTTCTTTGTCACTTCCTCTTTCACCACAACAAACAACCATGGCGTTCTCTGCATCAGGAGCAACGTATCTGGTCATTGAAATTATCCTCATAGTGATAGGTGAGCTTCTCAAGATTGCGATGTTGAATTCCGAATTGTATGGTTTGTAAAGACGAAAGTGTCTTTGCCCGTCTCTCAAATTTGTTTTAGATATGATCTTGAAGACAGAAGAGTTAGATCTAGATTCTAGATCTACATGGCACTGGACACGCTGCTGCTGGTCTTCCTTCTTTCGGATCCGTCCTTCGGCGCCCGTCCTTCTTTATCCTATCTACAATTACCATATATTCCTTCTTATCTACAATTACAATCTATTCTGATCTAATATCTAGATCTAGATCTAGATCTAGTTCTAGCCTCCTCACTGACGTTAGTCATCAGTAATTAACAACCTTGCCCTACTCCTAGTAGCTAGTTTGATCCCTATTCTCTCCACTTTAGACTGCTCAAGACTCAAGATGAGAATCTAGCCTCCTAGGTCTAGCCTATCTTAGGTCTAGAGATCTAAATATAGAATCTTGATGTAGATCTAGATCTAGTTTTAAACTAGAGTCTTAATCTAGGCATAAAAATCTCATATATAGATCTAGTATTTAAAATATAACATGACTGGATATTCTCATAGGAAAGTGACTCTTCTCACCCGCCCGGAAGTTCTCGCAAGATCAACTCCTCCCCTCTTCTCTCTCTCTCTGTCTCTTTCTGAATACTGTCTATCGGTGTGGACGATCAAATTGACCAAAAAAAAGTTTAAAAATGATGTTAAAACACAAAAGTAAATTAATTTGGTTGTCTACAAAGATGCTACGGCTATTTAACTTTTCGAATCGAGCCGAACTACGCGGGTCGCCATTTTGTTTTGCCCAGAAATTCTCGCGCTACTCCTCTCTCTCTCTTTCTCTCTCTCTCTCCACTGCCCACAGACAAAATTGTACGCTTTTAGTAGGCTACAGTTGTAATGGAACGTTTGTTCACGACACAGAATTCTACAATTTTTCTGTTATCACAGTGTAGAATTCTGTGGTTTAGGTTGAACGCAAAATTTGGTGAACGCGCACCGGGTGAGAATAGCCACAAGACTCGCCTGCACTATTCTCACTCCGGGTGAGAATAGAGGTGGCCTATTCATAGAGTCTGTCTAACTCGATCTAGAGATCTAGAGCTAGATCTAGATCTATATATCTAGATCTAGATCTCGCCTTGACAAAGCAAGTGTCTCCTCATCAAATATCTAGATCTAACTAAATCTATTGCAGATCTAGATCATACACAGATATTGGATGTCCTTTATATCTTGGCTCAAGTCAAAGTCTCAAACTTAAAGTTATCCTATAATAAGTGATATCATCTTTGTCTTTATGCCATGCTATGATGACTCATGATAGCCAACCTACTTCATATTTAACTTACTCACAGAACTGCAGACTACTGACTAGCTACCCTATAATAATGGCCTACTGATGACTAGTTACTTGTAACAAATAAGGCCGAAATCATATTCATCATTGACAAGTGATGATGAAGTGCTAAGCTCCCTGTGTATTTAAAGTAGGCCTAAAGAGTTTATTTCTCCTCTTTATTACTTTATGAATGAGGTTTATTTCAAATGGAGGGACACATATAGTCATACTCTCATCATCATGAACTATGAAAGGCCGGAATTCAGTGGCCTTAGTCTAAGGGTAGACCTACACTAGCGTCGGGCCCGACAGTCAGACTGGACCATTTTCCGACTCAAAGGAATGAACGCGGGCAGAACAGTAACGACAGGTAATAAAAAACAGCAACCTGCCAACACCAAAACCTGACAGCCCGGACCAGACCGTTAAGGAATGAACTTGATTCCACGCCGTCCGTCAGGCGAATAAGGTATAATTTTCGCGGACCGTGCCTCTATAAATTCTTTCCCCTTTCCCACCACAATCTGTTGGTTTTTGTTATGGAGAGTGTTTTACGGCGTTCGCCGCGACGAAAGCAGACAGCAGAACATGAGAACAGGAAAGGAGGTGAAAGGAGAAAATTTTAAAGAAGAAAATTTTCCATTGCTGTCAAGTTTCGAGCCAGGGAGTTATTGAATGAGAGGCAAACAACGTATCCCCTAGACCAGGAGAGGTCCCTCCTTTCCTAACCACAACAAGAACAACAACTTTCTCCTCCTGCTACACGCCATTTTCTACTATTAAACTGATGTTGTCTGACCGTCGGGTACCGGTGGCGGTATGGGCGCCACAGCAGGCAAAAAATCGTCGGGTCGTGTCTGACCGTTGGGCCTGGCGCCGATGTGGGTCTAGCCTAAAGGCTTTCAAGCCTTTGAAAAAGTTGTTATTGCTACTACTTCTAATAGCTCTTCATAAATGACTAAATTAAGTGGATGATTCCTTGCTTACATTTGATTTTATTAACTGCATAGAAATCGAATAGATCATAGTGTGTCATGGCATGCCATGTGGACTCTCAGCCTGCAGTGTTTGCTATACCCGGGCCTTGGGCACACTGCCAATCAGATTCATCTGATTGAGTCGGTGCCAGTCAGATTTTTCTTATCTATTGACTCAATCCAATGATTTCGACTGTCAGTATGCACTTATATTGATCTTTACTTCGCAGGTTTTCATTTAGAGTAATGCGAGGCATAAAGCCCCTAAAATTTAGGCCCTTTTTATATTTTTCAAATTTAAAGTACAGAATATCCCCCAATCATATATGTCTAAACCCTGCCCACAGTGTAAGAACACTTCTTATTCATATTACAAACTATTAAGATTTTATTGCTTGAAAATTCAACTGCATGAGAAGAACAAAACAATTTGACTACTACTCAACAAAGGACAAAGGTGGAAAAGTGAGGGCAATAACCCATATGGTGTATATATAGTATTCAAAATTACTGGGGCTGGTGATAGAAATCGCAAATCAATTGAAAAATGAAGTTATGAGGTGGTTACTTTGTGGGGTCATTTTTTTAAAAGGGCTTCTTCGATCATTGTATGGAATATACCTCTACATTGTTGTAAATTTGCTAAACTTTGTCATATTAGAAGCTATGATGTGAAATTCTTTGTAAAATGATTGCATTTTTTTTGTTGTTGCATGGCCTGATCACAAAGTTGTAAAAGCTTGTCACCAATGTCTTACTGATTTGTGTTTTTTTTTCTGTTGTAGAGACAACTCGAAAACATTTTTTTTGTCTTCCCAGTTGCAACATCAGCGATTCTTATGCGGAAGGTGTTGACTCCATTCACACGTGGATTCTTCAAAGACGATGATTCTCTCATGTATCCCTTCAAGCCTTCCTCGGTTACCAATGTCTGGCTCTATGTTGTTGGTTTTATAGGATTTGGTGTTGTGGTAAGAAGTGCAATGTGTGCTTTTGAAACTTAAGTGGGTGGTTGGCGGGTGCTCTGGTGTGGTTTGCTTCTTCTTTCCTGTCAAACATCTATCAATCTCCTTCTTTTTTATGTTTGTTACTCTCTTGTAACACCTCTAATCTTCTGGCGCTCATATGACCTTATGCAGTTGCGAGCGCTGTAAAACCTCTACTACTACTGAAACAGAACGTTTGATGCGAAAACTGGTGTATGAATGCAACTAATTACTTCTTGATTCAGTAATTTACAAAATCTTGCAATTGTTTTCTCTTCATGTATCTCTACATGCTTATGCATTACCAACGTACCACTAGTGTTTTTTCCTAAATGTTAAACTTAAACATTTATTCTGCTATGTTGTTTATATGTTAAAAGTAATGTTTGATTTTTTAAAAATTAAAACATTTTTGTTCGATTCGACGTCAAAATGAAGTTGCTAGTTCCCTCAACTTTTTTTATTTTCCTAACATTCCTCAGGTGGTTATCACAGAGGGAGTCATAATCAGGCGTCAGTACCAGAACAGCGTGAAGAGGGACAACGCTCGCTCGCTCCCCATGTGCTGGATGGAGAACTGCTACCGAGTCCTTTCCCTGTTCGCCTTTGGCGCCGCCCTCACGCACCTGGTTACGAACATAGGGAAGTACTCCGTCGGCAGACTGAGGCCTCACTTCTTCGCCGTGTGCATGCCCGATTGGTCGCGGCTCAACGACACCTCTGGTTACATACTGGAGGACATCTGTACCGGGCCGGATAAGGATCTTATAAAAGAAGCGAGGTGAGCACCGTGGAAATTGTCGCAAGTCGGCCACCCGTTGTGAAGGAGAGAAATGGTTCTCTTATATTTTGCTTTTTATTTGTGACCACAGCTTGGTTCGTCTCGCTTTTGATATCCTTAGCTTTAAGCTGTCACTTTTTCCTCATGACATTTTTGTTAAGGGCTTAGCCGCTGCTGCTTCTTCTTCTTTTTGTTGTTGTTGTTGTTGTTGTTCTTCTTCTTCTTCTTCTTCTTCTTCTTCTTCTTTTTCTTCTTCTTCTTCTCAATGGACATCCCAGTCTGTAGCGTGAAGGCTGTTGTTCTCTGCTGGTTCTCTAGACTGCAGTAGAGTTTTGGATCTTCCTACCTACGGGTAGAGTCAATATTTCCTTCCAAAGGGCTGTACAGCATATATAGATTTGGGAAGGTTTTATATTGTAGATCAGCGTTTCATTTTTATGCTGTTATGTTAGGAAAAGCCCAAGAAGAAGATTCGGACCTCTCCAGAAGAGACAAAGTCAATTTTACTCGATTACACATCAGACACACGGCCCTAACACCCAAATACCTCCTTCAGGGAGATGAGAAGCCGTTCTGCATCGGATGCGACACAGACTTCACCATTAGACACATTTTAACCGAATGTCTAGACTTTGGAGAGATCCGAAGGAAATACTTTAAATGCAAAAGGTTGCAAGACATTTTTTCCGTCGTTGGTCCCAACAGAATTTTGGATTTTATGAAGGCCGTTGGCCTTTATGGGAAATTGTAGAACAAAATTGAATTGTTTAAAATTTTTATGAAAGTTATTTTAGATTGAAAATATACTCCAAATTTTAAATATTTTAACGTTTTAAGATCAAATGACCCGTACCCAGCCGTGCAGTGAACTGCGAATAAAAAACTAACTTGTGTTTCGTGCGCTCATATGACATTATGCAGTTTCGAGCGCTGTAAAACCCCATACCAAACTAAACTAGAAGATTCATTTCCGCCACGGCCCAAGGCTAATTCTGTTCTCGCTTGCCTCCCCTATGAGAGGTTGGAGCACACTGTTGGCAGGCTGTTCTTTACTCTCCTTCTGTTTTTTGTTTCCTCCATTAAGTGACTGTTACCATGTTGATATATTCTTTTCTTTAAATCTTTTAACTTAACTGAACTCTCAACTCCCCCCCCCATTTTCCCCTGGGTGGTTGGTGGGTGCTCTGGTATGGATTGCCCGTTCTTATCAAACATTTATCGTCCTTATCTCTCCTCTTTTTTTGTTTTTTGCGTTTGTTATTCTTTTGTAACACCTCAAATCTTCAGGACTTGCTTGATCTGATTGTGTTGCAAGTACCGTAAAACGCTTACTTAATCCAAAAACATAACCCCCGACCCCCTTTTTCTCCCAACCTCACAATGATGTTTTCTTTTATTTCCCCAAATTCACAGAGTTTCTTTTCCATCCGGCCACTCTTCAATTTCCATGTACTGCGGAGTCTTTCTATTTGTAAGTACAGTAAAGTAATATATGCATGTTTTCTTTATTTTCATCAAAGTTTTCTGTGCAGGCATCAACAGCTTTCAATATTGTATAATCGTTAATGTAGTAGTGTGTATGTTTGAATATATTACCTTGTAATGTTTTAGAAGTTGAAAACCTGGCAAAATTTAGTCTTAGAAAAGGTCATTGCTACAGTGTATTGGGAGGTAGCACTGGGTTAAAATGGGAGAATGACTATTGTGCGTGACCGAGTGTTTGTTTTATTGTTTCTGTGTTGCCTAGGGCTGTACCCCGGTAGCAAACCCGCTCGTGCTCACAAGCCCCTAGTTCAAGTCACAAGCCTCAAATCAGTAGGTCAAATCATCAAATCAAATCACCAGCATGATAAGTTGAGTCTAGCGCAAACTGTAACCTCCTTGGTCTAGTCTAAACTTCAAGTCCACAGCAACTAGCAATCCGCGAAGCCACTCGTGTCAGGCCCCCTCATCATCCCCACCCTGCTTGCAATCCGCGAAGACACTTACGCCAGAAAAAGAGAGAGGGGGGAGAGTGAGAGATCTCGCCCACAGAGTCACTGCGCGGCGTGGCGCTGTAGTTTACCCGATTAATCGAGGCCTGCGCAAGCCTCAAGTCCCATCCGCTGCCACAGGCCCCACAATTCACACAGTACTGATTTGCGCTAGGCTTACAGATTTGCCCCAGGACAAGCTCCAAACCTGACCTGCTGACTTGTACTGTCTCGATACACCGAGCGAGCGGCACGGGCTCGATGGCGTAGGACCGTCTTGATGGCGACAAGACAGTCCGATGTGTTCAAACAGCAAGACAGTACTGTGCGCTGTGTGAACTTTGAACCGTGGAGGAAGGGAGAGGCTTGGCTTGTTTTGGTGCAAGGCGTAGAGAGCTGAAGTTATTTTTAACTTCCCGCCGTTGATCAGCTTAGCGAATGGATAAGTGAGAGGGAGCGTGGTATTGTAGTAACAGAGACCTAGGTTTCTGATAATAATAAGAATAAGTAGACTTAGATTACCCTAGAATGGAGAACTCCAGGGGTCGTTGTGATTGGCTTTTGTATCGTATGTATGTAACCTATTTTGTAGATGTGTTACACTCACAGTGACATAACACAGAACATTCAGGAGATGGGCTAGGCCTACTTCAACCCAATGTCAGGGCCAACCTGGGCTGAGAGGGAACAACGCCCCAGCAGAAAGACGGAGGTTCTCAGTAAAAATTTCTCCCCATATGGGAATCGAACTGAGGTCTTTTGCGTGCGACGATGAAGCGCTTGGCTTGTGCACATTAAAAATAAACAGGCCTTAACATCATAAGAATAGCCGATCCAATATTAATTTTAAAGTGCATTGAATAGAGCTTTTTGTTTTTTACAACTGAAATATGAAAAAAACAACAACCGATCTTGCACTTTTGGTGCAAGCCTCTCAACGCAAATAACCAGAGAATCTATAATATGTACTGAGCCCACTGCCACGAGAGTTCGCAACGTCACGACACAGTACAGCAGGACTGTCCGCGAGTCACAACTCACCGGAAGTTCCCTCCGGTAGCAAGCGGGAGGCAAATCAAACCACAAGCCTGCTCGCAAGACTCTAGCGCAAGACTTCCGCTGCTTTACAAGCCTTCGATTAACCGAGCAGAATCCAGCCCTAGTGTTGCCATTCAAGGAGAGTGTGTGGGTGGTTAGCGGGTGCTCTGGTGTGGTTTTTCTTCTTTCATATCAAACATCTATCGTCCTTATCTCCCCCTTCTTCTTTTTTATGTTTGTTGCTCTCTTGTAACACCTCTAATCTTCTGGCGCTCATATGACCTTACGCTGATGCGAGCACTGTAAGACCTCTACTAAAACTTTTTTTAAAAGGAGAGTGTAAGGATATTTATTAGATTTAATGTTGTTGCAAGTACTGTAAAACTCTCACTAAAACACATTTTTTTGAAAGATGATTTTTTAAAATTTTAATTTTTACATTTTTTTTGTATTTTGTTTGTCGTATGTCCCTGTTAGTTGTACCTGCTGAAGCGGTTCACCTGGAAGAAAATCGTGGTGATCCGGCCCCTGCTGCAACTGGTGGGCATAAGCCTGGCTCTCTACACCTGTCTAACACGCATCTCTGACTACAAGCACCACTGGAGCGACGTGATAATCGGGGCCATGCTCGGAGCGGGCATGGCTTTCTTCAGCGTGAGTCGGGGGGGGGGGGGGGGGGTGGTGATTGGTTGGTGGGAGCTCTGGTGTGGTTTGCTCCTTCTTTCCTATCAGACATCTATCGTCTTTATCTCCCCTCCTTCTTTGTGTTTGTTACTCCCTTGTAACTCCTCTAATCTTCGGCACTTATATGACCTAATTGTGTTGCAAGTGCAGTAAAACTCTTACAGAAAAAAAATACGAGGGGGGGGGGGGTAATTTTTGGTCTTGATTAGGATGATTATAATTTTTTTTCTCCTGAAATTTATGAGTCTTTTCCTCTGCAAGACACAGAAAGATTTTTCGTGTTTGTCTTCCTAACACTACCCACACTTCTAAAATAGTAATAATAATAATAATAATAATAGAAAGCATTAATTGTAGAGAGCAAATTCCCACTCAACAGCAAACTCTGTGCGCTTTACAATTTATACTACTACACCTTGTCGCGTCCTTGTCCACAGTGTTGGGGTCACTACAGTCGGGACATGTCCATCTCTGCTCTATGTGTGCTTTTGTCTTTCAAAAATTCTTAAGTGGGTTTTTGGCAGATGCTCTGGTGTGATTTGTTCCTTCTTTCCGATCAAACATCTATTGTCTTTATCTCACCTTCTTTTTTTTTGGTGTTTGTTACTCTCTTGTAACACCTTTAATCTTCGGCATTTATATGACCTAATTGTGTTGCTAGTGCAGCAAAACTCTTACTAAAAAAAAAACTGTTAAAAAAATTTTCTCTGCACTTTATGGCTTTATTCATACTTTTTATTTTGATATCCTCAGATGTTCTGGATTCACAAGATCCTTTTCGCAAATGGTCGCGTCCCTGAAACAACGGATGAAGAAAATTATCCACACACCTACCTCGACTTTCGGAATGACCGAAGAGGAACAAGCGACGTCTTCTCACAGACTCTGCCCGACACGTACGTCGCTGCGGGTGCAACGCGATTGTGAAAGCTGTTGTTGTTCTTCTTAGGAGTTGCATCACGTTGTGTATTTTGCCTTGGTGTTGTTGTTGCTTTTGGGCCAAAAGAATTTTTGTCCATCCTTCATTTTGTGGGTCATAGTGATGGGGTGGGGGTCAATAATTAACACACAACATGACTTCTACCGCAAAAAGGTAAATGAGTATTTTAACTATTTAATGAACTGGCATTGCATTGATTAGTGTGCATTATTTTTTGCTTACCTTTGCTTCGGTTTACAATCTGCAAACTGAAGATGGAAATCAACTCTCGCCCCACATGCTTCTTTATTGAAAGTATTTTTGTTGTGCTTTAGAAATCTCATTTTCTTCTCCTTGAGTATGGGTGGCCAACTTGTTGCCTTACAGCTGCTTATTTCTTTTTAAGATCCTAAAACTAAATCTAGCGGCGAGCAAGCTTGCGATCGTCTGTCTATCCTCCATTGTGTCGACTGGACTTTGTTGTGTAATGTTTTCGTTCCATATATTATGTAATAATAATATGTGTTATTGATGGCGCAAATGAACTCCCTTTTCCGAGCTGGTATGGGGCTTGATCTGCTGGGTAGTAACATTTTTTTTCCAGGGAGTAAATTTTTTCAGGAAATATTGCTGGACACCCTGCATATCTCGAGGGATTTGGGATCTCGCAAACTGTCCCCTGAAATTATTATAATTTTGAATCTAGTGAGTTGTTAGTGGTCTGCCTTTTTGTGAAGATCAAAAGATATGCCTCTTATAACAAAAACAATCTGTAGTTATGATCAACTAAGTATAGGAAAACACTTTAAGATTAAGAGCTCACTTCTCGAGTTGACGGATACATTTGATTCGCACCTTTACTTTAGTTCTATGAAAATAATGACAAGATCATCTTTTTTTAAAAAAATCTTTTAACTTGGTGGATACAGCAATGTTTCCTATGAAACATCTATCATCCTTATCTCCCCTTTTTCTTTTTTATGTTTGTTACCCTCTCGTAACACCTCTAATCTTCTGGCGCTCATATGACCTTATGCAGTCGTGAGCGCCGTATAATCTCTACTAAAACTAAACTAAGCTCTTGAATTTCTCTAGTTTGGCCACCCTTGACCAATCGAGGCCCACAGGGCGATATTTTGCAGCACCCACTCGGCTCAAAGTTTAGCGTTAATGTGGCCTGTACGTATTTCTCACATGCTTTTTTTTTTTTAACCGATGTGTTGCCTTGGATTTGTTTTTGTTTTTAAAAATCACATATGGATTACCTGCCAAAGGTGAGGGTTGCGACAGCTTTTGTTGGCGTTTGTTGATGTTTTAAACGTGATTTAATTCAAAGTTGTTGTTGGGGTTTTTTTTAACACTTGATACCTGTTTTGTGTGTGTGTTTGTGAAATGTTTGATGTAGCCCAGGTTCATGCAGACTTTACTTCCAGCCGCCCGGTGGGTAAGTTTGAGTTTGAGAGACCACCCTTCCTTGTGTAAGGGTACTTTATGCGGGGAGGGGATGTTTCTGATCAGATCTGTTCCATTGATCAGATCTGTTCCATTCCATTTTTTGTTTCTGTTGAATTAATGTACCGGTTGTATGTTGATGTGGAAGATTTTCACTGATATGCGTTAAAATTGCCGAATCAATTGTTATCACAATATCCACCTTCTTAGAGATACTTTTACTCATCACTATGCAAATTTTGAAAATGATCCCGTGATCGAATATTGGTCTTCAAAAATTCATGAAGTTAGGGGGGTTTTTTTTTGCTTTTGTTTTTGCAACATGTAGTATTTAAAGTGAGAGAGAGGAGGGAAGCTATAGAATCCTATCATTTGAGTATTTTCAAGGATGGTTTCTTTGGGCAGGTGCAGTTCACCTGTCGTTTCAATTGATATGCCTTTCAGTCTGTAAGACAAATTTTCGCCTGTGGGTTAGAATTTTTACTTCGCAGGAGTACGTTGAAATCTGTGGATTGATATCGACCTGTTTGTCAGAGATGTATTTCCTTTAGTCATTCCAGGAATCTGAAAGTTTTTAACCAGGCATTGTGCTACTTTGTCTTTGCCTCATGATGTTCCTCTTTGTTTGCAATTTTTGTCCTGAAAAGGAAGGATAAGGTTTTTACTTATTCGTAGCTTTTGTGTGCCCTTGTTTTTAAAAACAATTTTCGACAAAGCTGTGCCAGATTTGAATAAAAATGCCAAGAGCTCAGTTTCGAAAAATAGCCTCAACTTCATGTATTTTGACCCAGAATGTCACACTTATCACTTGTGCTTGGCTCTGAGAAGTGAGATTATACGGTTATGTATGCTCGTCCTTTTATTTTTCCAGCTGCATTGCTGATTTGTTTAAACGTGTACTACATGAACAGCCCAAGAACACTTTCATTCTGTTCACTTCACATATATATATGTCAGATGTTTTCTTTCGCTTGGCGTGGCATTGTGTCTCATATTTCATTCATGAACGTCGCCTTTCCTGAACACAACTTGTGTGTGACAGGATTAGTAGAGCTTCCCGCTGATGTAGTGCTCTACGTGTCTTCCTGCTTGCTGTCTAGCGGGTTCCTGGTTTCTCCTTCATGTACATAGATGGTATGCAGTTGCGAGCGCCGTGAAACCTCTACTAAAACAACTTCGTGTAGATGGCTCCTGTGGTATTTAAAAAATTGCGATTGTTTCACGGATGATATGTTGTGCTGGGGACTGGAACTTTTTTCCCCCCTTTCCCACAATTTATATCTGTTCCTGCTCATAGCAAAGTGTGTGTTGGGGAAATGAATGTTCTTATCATGTTTCTGTTATTGTGTATGGGGTGTCAAGAGCAATATCAACATAGTGACATATCAAAACATATAGATATACTATTACTATTATTATTATTGTTATTGTTGTTGTTATTGTTATTATTATTATTATTATTATTGTCTCTTATTTTAATTATATAGATATCAAAATTTTTTGTTCATGTTTCAAAGAATTAGTTTGGTTGGGGCAGCCTTTCAGAGGGTGACATTTTGTTAGGGAATAGATGCTGCCATAAATCTGCTTGGCTTTGAAATAACGTTATTTATTAACTTAAGAAAATAAGAGGAGTTGCAGTCTCGTGGGAGATAAGTTTTTTAGTAGGTGTAGTTGGTGTAATAGTTGCGTTTATATTATAATATCGCAAATGTCCACACTCTACGGCATGCTTTACATGTTTTACGACTGCTCTGACCTTAGCAGACTGTAGAATTTCCAGAAACATTCTCGGCTTCCCGGGAAGCTTGCAATGCAAACAGCCAATTAAGCGCTCAAACTCTCGCAAGCTGACAAGATTTTTCGCTATCTGTAGTCTGATACTCATTCCCACCTCGATGAAGTGAGGAAAATTCGGGTAAAGAATATTTCCCAAGGACACAATGTAATGTAAGGCCCCTGATCGGGTTCAAACCCATGACTCTTTGGTTATGAACCCAACTGCCTAACGACTGGACCACCGACACCTTTTAGCCTTTCAATTCGGGTAAAGAATATTTCCTAAGGACACAATGTTAGGCCCCTGACAGGATTCCAACCCGTGACTTTTTGGTTATGAACTCGTCAACGTAACGACTAGACCACCGACACCTTTCAGCCTTTCAATGCCGAACCACGGCTCTTTCTCAGCATTTTCTTTACAACGAATGATGCGAATGTGAACTGAAGACTTGCGTAGTGTGCAAGTGTAGTTAGTGGTACTTGGTGTCTTGGTCCAGTTAATTCTGAAGGACATGTATTCCTTCCATAATGAGCTTGTTTGGCAATGCTATATGCTCATATCATATCCTTATATCTCACCTATGAACTAGTTAGACACGTCCTTACACCTTCCACACCTTCCTTTATTCCAAAGGAACTGTCAATGTCTTTCCTCTATGGAACATTATATCAAGGAAGTCAAGATCAGAAGGGAGGGAAAGTGGTACTCGGGCAATCTACTTTCTCTCTATCTTTACCACTCAGGCAAAGCTATTATATCACTATCATGCTTACCTCTTTAAGGGGGTGTAGCTATGGTCAACACCCAAATGCTATAGTTTTTGGTCTAACGCTTGCTTTTCTGCATCAAAGGGGGTGACATAGTACAAAAAAAGGTTACCAAGCAAAAAATTCAAGATTTTAGCCATAATAATCTCGAGCCATCAAAAATAAAGGATTGATTCAGCATTTTTAAAACCAATTTTATATTTTGTCAATCATCAACACCCATCAAGATAGAAGCCTAATATTTGGCATGGCGATTACTGTTGGTAGGTAGAACAACCTTACAGAGCCAAATTTGAATTTTCTGTACTGACTTGTGAGCTTTACAGTCCTTGTTAAGCACTACATTCAGGTTTCCAATGTTTTAAGATTTTGTAAAATAAAAAAGGCCTAAAACTCCAAATGTGTACCATAAACAGCAAAAATGCTACTGTAAAGTTATAGAGAAATGTGTATGAAAGATTGTGTCCAAATGTGAAACAATTCTGACAGTAACTTTCTGAGATCTACTCAAAATAGTTTTGCAACCTGGTCAGATAAACAATTCTGAGAAAACTGCAAAGAGAGATAGTTTTTGGTGAAGATTTTCCTGCATTGCTACCTCTCTTAAATGCATTTTCCAGCTATTTATAAGTTTGATAAGGAATTAGGCTTCTAAAGATGAATCCTTGATATTGATATCTATTAAGATACTCCAGAATCCGAAAACTGATATTTTTTCAAAATTTTTACTGATCTGACCAGTGGATCCCCTTAAGATCGTCTGTCAAGTCAAGACATAAAAAGCCAATACTATATTAACCCCATCCATCCCTCTTTACTCTCCCTCCCTCCCCCCCTCCCCCCCCCCACCCCCACCAAAACCCAAGTGAGAGTCTTTTTCATACTCCCTTGCATTGTAGCTAGATATATAGTACTTGAAGGCCATTTTTGGGAGATGAACCATAGATTTTTGCCTGTTGTGGTTTTTTTTTTTTT